CTGCCCGCCCGTCCCGGTGCCGCCGCCGGTGCCGGGGGAGCTCCCGGGGAGGGGGGAGGCAGCGCGTTATTTCCGATGCTTCACCTCCTTGTCTGACGCTTTGGAGTCCCCGCTGTGCCCGTTCCCCGTGCTGTTCAGGAATATTTTATCCAGCCCCTTGAGGGACTCCACCAGGTAGTTCTGGAAGGCGGTGAGGGCGGCGCAGATGGCCGGGCCCCCAAAGCCGTGGGTTATGAGGCTGAAGTGAGTCAAACAGCTCTGCACACCGGGCTCCAGGATCAGCGAGGGGCGGCTGTTCCCCAGCGGAGACCGGTCCTGGGCTATCAGGTCTGCAAACTCCTTGCAAATTTGTCTGAAAGAGAGAGGGTTTGGTCATTAGATGGCTCATGGAGAGCTGCAGGACACAGAATCATGGAATCCCGGGATAGTCTGGGTTGGAAGGGATGTTGAAGATCATCCAGTTCTAACCCCTCTGACGTGGACACCTTCCACTAGACCAGGTTGCTCAGAGCTCCATAAAACCTGGCATTAAACATTTCCAGGGATGGAGCAGCCACAGCTTCTCTGGGTGTGTCTGGGGGTTCTTTTCATCCTCCCTGCACCAACAGCCACCTCCTCCCCACCAGGATTTTTCAGCTCCAGCCTGTGGAAAGCTCCTGGGTGCAGAGTTGGAGCCACTGCCACTGCTCCTGCTCTGAAGGGGCACATGAGGCAGTGCCAAAATGCTCCCCTGTGGTTGTGCTACCCTCTCCCATGGAGGAACAAGCCCTTCAGTCCCTGCAGGCCCTTCACCTGGCTGCTCATCCTCCTGCAGCGTGTGAGCCCCTCTCTTCCCCATGGAAGAGGAAGCTCTGGGGGCCAACGCTGCCCTCCTGGGCTGTGGGCACCGAACACGCGGGTGGCTCGCTGCCAGCTGCACTCACTTGGTGGCCAGCAGCATGTTTTTCCTGGTGTGCAGCTCGGCGGGGTCGGAGTGCTGCCGGCACAGGTACTCTGCCGCCGCCTTGGCCGGGAACTCGGTCTCGCAGACGTACCCGAAGTCCCGAGCCAGGTGAATGGCCTCACCTGTGGGCAGCACAGAGGGACATCAGCACTGAGCCCACACCCTGGGCGAGGGGAGAACTTCTGCAGCAGCTTCAGCCTTTTCACTGGGGGGGCTCATTTCTGGTGGGACTGGGGTGCTTCCCTTCGCAGTGACCGCCCAAGAGCTCTCCCCACCTCAGGTCTTGGTGTAGAAACCACTGTGAGTTTCTCATTCTCCTCTGTGAGGCAATTAGTCCATGTGGGCCAAATGAGCCATTGCCTGCTCTAAACAGCAGCTGGATCCTTCCTTTACTGCCTTTTAAAAGAGCATCAGGAAGGTGCTGGCTTTGGAGCAGAGTGAGGTGTGACTCTGGGCACCTGCTCCGAAAGGAAGAGCAGCAGAGGCGTTTCTCACTTGGGGCCATCTCCTGCTGCATCTTTCTCTCCCTTCTTCTTCCCAGATTTCCTGCTTGGCTGTTCCAAACCGAGCAGAAATGGGGGCTGGAGGGTGAAAAAGCAACCTCAGCCCTGTGACCACAGGACAAAGCAGGGCTGTGAGGAAGGGGCAGGAGGAAGGGGGTTACATCCTCCCACAGTGAGCTGGGGCCCTCGGGCTGGACGTGCAGGCAGCGTATCCATCACCCCGTGGAAATGCCCACCCATTGATGGGATTGATCCATCTCCAGTCGTCCCCGTGGAAATAATCAGAGCTGATGGCCATTGATCATGCCCAACACCCAAAATCCAGGTCAGGCAGGCAGAGCTAATTTGACTTGCCCCCCTGCTGCTCACACGTATTAGGCCATCCATCCTAGCAGCATTAACCCAGATCCCAGCCCGGCCTGCCTGGATCCTGGAGCTCGGGTAGGGGGAACTGCCCGTGCTTCCCACATAAGGACAGCACTTTCCGCTTCAGCCTCTCCTCCAAAGAAGGAGCAAATAAGGTAAACCTACAGAATCAGAACTGCAGTTGTTTGTGTGTCAAAAGACAGTCAGAAAGGAACAACTACTGGAAAACTGTTACTGGGATGATAAAAGACAGCTGAGTAAGCCCGTGGTCAGAGACAAGGCTGGAGCCAGGATTTATTTCCTCCATGAGTGTGAGTGGCTGCATATCTGAATGTCTTAAAGGCAATTTGGAGTCTGGATTAGGGAGGTATCAGGGGGAACAGGGCAACCTGGCTTTGGGAAGAGATGTTAAAGCCACACTGAGTCAGAGCCTGGGGAGGAGAGGCTGCAGGAGAACACTTGGGGGGCCATGGTGGGCAAAGCAGCCACAGGTGCTTGCCTGAGGCTCTTTTGAGAACTTAGGGGTGTTTCTGGAGTGCAAATACAGCCCTGCTGCTCCCCTGGGGCCAGGCTGGAGCTGCTCTCATGGAGGAGTTGCTCAAGAGAAGGTGAGTGCTCTGTGTACTTGGTGAGGACTCCAAAGGGAGCTGTTTCTGCCTGGTGCTTCCTGGGTTCCCCAGGAACATCCTCCCCATCTGTGTGAGTGGGTCAGTGTAAGAAAAAATATATCATCAGCGTTCAAAGAGAAACCTGGGGGCTCTTTTAAATGGTCAGACATTGGGAAGGCAGAGGGGAGAAAACAAATTAAGCCAAGACAGCAAATGTCCAGGAAAGAGGGTGCCTGGGACAGAGGGGCACAAGGCAGTTCTGTGTGAGGGGTCAGGGAAAGCAGCAGCACCTTCCTCTGGGTGGAACATCCCTGGTACCATCACATGTTCAGGAGGAAATTACATCCACCAAGCACACATGGCACCACTCCTATTTACCATGAGCTGGCAAGCAGGAACCAAAACAGCATCAGCCACCTGAACTCAAACTGTACATTTTTCCTTCCCTCCTTTCTTTCCTTCTTTCTTTTCTTTTCATGGAAATCAGCCTTTCATTCAGCACAAACCAACTGCCCTCGGTAACAACCTCGGCCTAATGAAGCGGGTCATTTAATTTGCCGGCGACAATGGGGATGATTTTCTATTCAGGATCCGCAGGCAGCTGCCTGCCCCGCGCCGGGCACGGCCACAATGGATTCCGGAGCTCGGAGGGAGGCGGAGCCGTCATTCCATTTGTTTGTGTCCCGTGTCCTCTCCTCCCAGGGCGCAGCGGAGACATCATCATTTCCACGGCGCAAAGAAGTAGGAGGGGAGGAAACAACCGAGTGGCTTTGGGCAGGGGCACCTCACTCATCCCGGCGGGGATGGATGCACATTTTCCGTGGCTCGGCCCTTAACGCCGCGCTCCGAGGGCAGGTGCTGCACACCTGAGCTCCACCCGGGAGACCTCGGAGCTGTTCGGCATCTCCTGGATGTCTCACTCCCCCCCTGCTGTGCCAGGGAGGAGGGAAGCACTTGGATGAGGGGCATTTCCTCCTTACAGGAGATGAGGAGAAGGGCACAGAGCCGGGGTGGGGATGGAGCCCTGACGGAGGGGTCAGCGGTGTGTCCGGAGTGGGGGCACGGGGCTGCAGAGCAGCTGTGGAATCTTGGCAGCTTTGCTCAAGCTTTTTTTGTGTTTGGTCTCTGTGACCCAACTTTTAGCACCAGCTCACAGAAAAGAGGGGTACCCTGAGCTCCAGCCAGACCCACTCAGCATCCATGGGGGTGCCTTTCCCACGGGCTGTGGCTGGTCTGACAGAAATGACTGAGTTTTGGAAAACAGACACAGAACCATAGAATGGTTTGGGTTGGAATAGACCTTAAACACCATCCAGTTCCAACCCCCTGCCATGGGCAGGGCCACCATGCTTGGACATTGTCTTGGACATTTGCTGTCCTGGTTTAATTTGTGTTCAGCCCTCTGCCTTCCCAAGGGTCTGTTCATTTTAAAGGACTTGTGCTTGGATCAGAGGCTTACACAGGGCACATTCCCAGGCTCAGCTGGTGGTGACTGCCCCATACTTTAGGTGTTCTGGTTTGTGGAAAGCTGGAAATGAAGGGAGTGGAAGTTTTGGCACTCCCACCCTCTGTGGGAGCAGCTCTTACCTTCCACGAGGGATGTCAGCAGGGTGACGTTGGCAGCTTTGCGCCTTCCTGCAGGTAGATTTAATCCGATTTTCTCTAACCTTTCCCTTAAACACCGACCCCCATTTTTTGATTTGGCTCTGAAAAGAGAAAACAAAGGGAGGGAGGAAATTCAATGTAATTCATGTTAAAATAACCATGGCCCCAGTTTAAGCTTTGAGGTTTGAAAAGAAAGAAGAAGAAGAAGCAGAAATCCTATTCCCCAACGTACCGCACACCAGAATTTCTCCTCTCTGTTTGTCTGAGAGGTAAGAGCTGGTGCTGAACACAGATCCCAGGGCTCTTGGAGCAGCTCACCTGCGGAGGACCCCGCCGAGGAGAGAGGCGTTGAGACACTCGGGGGGCGAGAGCCTCCTCTGCACCTCCCCGACCGTCACCTTGTACTTGGAGGTGGAGCTGAGGAGGGACAGGCGGCCGGGCACGGAGCAGAACACCTCGTTGGGATTCGTCACCCCTCCAACCAGGCCATCCTTGTTCATTGACAGGCTGGAGATGGTGGTGCCGTTGGCCTTCGAGGGGATGGGCACTGGGAGACAAGGAAGGGAGAGAGAAGAGGAGACTGTGGCTGAGAGAGCCCGGAGCCAGGGACGCTGAGCGGTGACTCTGGGCAGCTCTGCAGCCTCCCACACCACGTCCTGCCATCCACAAACAGCAGAACAGCTGCTGGGATGTCTCAGTTAGTTCCCTGTTTTCCTCAATGAAAGAAGAGATGTGGGGTGATGAAACCAAACTAAGTAAAGGTCACAGAAAGGAAGAAGCCTGGATGCTGCTCTTGCCTGCGTTCCCACACCTCCCAGCTCGGCTGCAATTAAAGCCGAGGTTTTGGGCTGGTCTCCTGGAAGGCTCAGGACTGTCCACAGTGTCACTGGCTGGACCTTTGAGCAACTCCCCTCCCTGCCCCCTCTGGGTGCTCCGTGGAGGTGGCTGGCAGGGTGAAGTGTGGCTGGTCCCCCTGTCTGGGGCACCGATCCCCTCCCAGTATCTCAGCAGCATCCCAGCTCTGCCCGGCACACGCTGCGTCCCACCGGGCAGGATCAACCCCCTGAGCCACCACCTGCACTCCCTGCCCCAAACCCGGGAGCTGCTGGGCTGGCTGAGAGCTGTGCTTCCAGCGTGCACCCATGGGAACCAGGGGAGAGAGTCTCTTTGCCTTCAGCTTTGGGATTAGCCCCACAACCAGCCACAGCCCTGAACTTTCATCATCCCTCCCTTAAAGGAAGCTTGAGAAGATCAAACCCAATTTATCCAGCACAGACTTCCCTTTACTTAATGGGCAAAAGTCAATTAACACAAGGTTAGGCACTGGTGACTGCAGCGTTGCATCAGGCCCGTGGCGTCGCACAGGGATGAAGGGGCTCAGTTTTCCCATTTGTCATTCCATGAGAAACGTTCTTAGACGCAATAAACCTTTACAGGTTAAAACTGTGGCTGAGACTTGTGCCAAATCTCTTTGGCTTTTATGTTCTGAAACTAATAACCAATTTAACTTGGGGAACAATACAGGTTTTGAAGGAATCCAAAGATCATTTTGTCCCTGGCATTCTTTGTGGTTCCTCGGGAATGACTGTTCCACAGTCAGATGGTTCCTGCAAGTAACACAGCAGCGAATGCCAGGGTGAGGTGCAGGGTTTATAGAGGAAACACACATGGCCAAAACGAAACAGAAACCCCAGAATTAACAGGGGAGGGTACAGGGACTGGACCTATGAGGGGGTGCTTACAATCAGCACATTGTAAATCCAGCTCAATGACTTTTAGCGTGGCAACAAAAATCAGCACTTTACATAAAAATGGCTCATGTTTTAAGACTAAAGGATGAATGGAAATGAACTGAAGGACGTGGAGTTTCCTCCCAACATGAAACTTAGACAAAGTCAGGGAGTGAAGGGTGGGATGCACCAGTGCCCTGCTGGAACCAGCAGCTGCAGTGGGTGTTTGCCATGACTGAGGCTGGTTCAGGGATGTTCAGGGAAGAACAAGTACAGGAACATCCCCATGAGACATAGGAAACCAAAACTATTTCCAGGAAGCAGCGACTTCAAAGCTTTCTTCCACAGTCCCGGAACAGGTTAGGTCAGTCTCCAGGGGATCCTTTAGAATCAAAAGTCACAGCGTGGTTTGCAAATACCCAGGGCCCTGCAGGTCCCAGTCCCGGCGTGGGGGTTCTGCTGCAGGAAGGGCCACCCCCCAAGCCAGCCCCCCTAGGGGGGAAGGTGTTGCCTGTAGTGTCGTATGAAGGGCTGTGCATAAGTGACCCCTCTGCCAGGCGTGTTGTCCGGGTGTCTCTGTGCATGCCCACGATCATGCGGGGGCCGCGTTCGAGCCGCATGCGTGGCCAGGGACCTGCACACAGAGAGGGATGGCAGAGCCATGCAGGGA